ACACACACACACACACACACACACACACACACACACACACACACACATACAGTTACCTTCACAGCTCTTCTTGTCAGGAGCTAGTTCGTAGCCCGGATCACAGGCACACTTGAAACTGCCGAGAGTGTTTACACACCTCTGTTCACATCCTCCATTGTCTGGCTTGGCACACTCATCCTCCTCTGAAAAACACACACGTCAGCGCACATTTATTTGCACACACATTAAGAATGCTCTTGCTGAAATGCCGTGGGAGAAAACACAATCAACCTCCGCGCACACACACACCTTTGAAGAAGTTAGCAGCAAAGCCGGCCTTGTTAACCGTCCCGTCTGAGACGAACTTCATCCACAGTGTGTGCGAGGTGGAGCGCATGTCTTCAGGTTTGTCGTAGCCGCAAAATCGACCAATCAGAGCGCTCGTCTCCAGGGGACCATCTCGAACCTCCAGGTAGTCGTAAGCGCAGCTGTCGTGCCTCTCAATCTGCGAAAACATCCATGCAGGTTCACACACACACACACACACACACACACACAGAGTGAGATACACGACACTGCTGTGAATATCAACATCCATCCTGTCACCATCAAATATCTGGTATCATAAGGAAAATGTAATCTTCTTAAAACCTCGGTCTTATGTGTGTAGTTTCATTCAAGAAAAATGAGGTTGATCTTCACTCCTGTGAACTTTGACCTTACAAGAGGGAAATGAGGTTTGGGTCAGATTGAGTCCTTTAGCACAGTGACATTTTTACGGCTCTGTGGCTCTATACACTCACACGCAACACATGCACCACTAACATTATTAACTTCCTCGCAGTTATACGAGCGTGAAATCTGACCCAGACATTCCTGAGCACACACACACACACAAACACACACACACATGGAGGGGGAGGAGGAAGACAGAGAGAGAAGCACACACACAAAGATGATCTCACACACACGCATGGAGTGACTCACCTCGAAGGCCTGGAAGCTGAGCCCGACGTTGTATCCCTCAGACACAGTGATCCTCCACACACACTCTTTGGATGGTCTGTAGTCATCAGGGTAGTTGGGGGACTGAATCTGTCCTGAGTCCTTGGTGATTTCCCCTCCACAGATTGCTGCACAGGAGAGACAGATGGACAGAGAGAGAGAGAGAGAGAGAGAGAGAGAGAGAGAGAGACACTGGACAGATTAGCATTAAGTGCACAGGCCAACAACACCTGAACACGTGTAGGTATGAATAAGGCAAACTTCTCACAAAAGTCAGTCATTTTTTAAATTTGACACCTCATCATGTGGAGTGGGTTTAAAATCTGTGTATTTATACGTAATTATTCATGTGAACACACATGTTTCTAAGGTAGAAGAGTTACCTTCATAAATGGCAGCGAAGCCTTTCCCCACCCAGTTGCTGCTGCTGCGAAACTCAATCCACATCCTGCTGTCAGTGGAGATCAAGACTTCAGGAACTTTATCTCCACAAAACCTGCCTGTTAAAAACACACACACATAAAAACAAACTATGTCACAATCATAACTTGTGCTGTCCAATGATTGTTGATGAAATATAGCCTTTGAAATGTGATGTGAAACTCCATGAATTGGAGAGAAGACTGCTTGAAAAATATTATAAGATATTTAAGACCCCACACCAGGAAAAACACAAGAATACGACTTTGATGTGCTGGAGACAATGTGGCTCAATGGAGGCAAATCATTCTCATATGTTTTGGGAGTCTCAAACTGAGTTTATATTGGAATGGCATTCACAAAACATGAATAAGTACAGTATTTAAGACTCAAATACCCCTAAACTTGGACTCTTGGACATATGTCTGAAAGTTAACCACAACAAAATGCTGACAGATTGAAGTAGAAGTACACATCGGTACAGTCAGGGCCATAAGTATTTGGACTGTGACACCATTTTTCAAATTTTGCCTCTTTACATGGCCGCAATGGATTTGAAATGAAGCAGTCAATATGTGCTGGACGTGTAGACTTTTAGCTTTAATTCAATGGATATAACAAAAATATCACATTAACTGGAATTACAGCCATTTTCACACAGTCCCCCACATTTTCAGAGAAGTAATTGGACAAACTAACATAATTGTGGATATAATGATCATTTTTAATACTTGGAGGAAAATCCTTTGCAGTCAATAATTGCCTGAAGTCTGGCACCATAGACATCACCAAACGCTGAGTTTCCTCCCTTGAGATGCTTTGCCAGGCCTTTTACTGCAGCCTCCTTCAGCTGCTGCTTGTTTGTAGGGCTTTCTGCCTTCAGTTTTATCTTAAGTAAATGACAAACATGCTCAATTGGGTTAAGATCAGGTGACTGACTTGGCCATTGAAGAATATTCCATTTCTTTGCCTTGAGAAGCTCTTGGGTTGTTTTCCCAGTATGTTTTGGGTCATTATCCATTTGCACTGTGAAGCGCCGCCCAATCAGTTTTGCAGCATTTGGCTGAATCTGAGCAGATATTTTAGCCTGAAATACCTCAAAACTCATCAGCTGTGACATTAACGATAAACACCAGTGACCCAGTTCCATACATGCCCATGCCATAACACAGCCTCCACCACGTTTGACAAAAGATGTGGTATGCTTCGGATCATGACACATTTCTTGTATGTAGGCTGTATACATGTGGATATGAAGGTGAATATAGATGTGTATGTGTGTGTAGATGAGTGTAAACCAGTATATAAGGAAGGGTCCACATGGATATATTCTCCTGGAAGAGAAGATTGAGGACTGAAATTTATACTGAGGACTTTTAATTACCTCTTTCTGTGTATGTGCATATATTAACGTATATATAAAAAAACTGGAAAATATCAAAATAAATTGTATACTGCAATATTAACTTTTCTAAATAAAAAGGAAATCTCAAAAAAGAAAAACATGATGACAACACATACATATATTTTTATATAGTGCTATTGTCAGTCTGAACGTGGCTTTACAGTCACAGCATCAATCATGTGAGGGGATTTCAGTTTGTGATTTCAGCAGAATTAAAAAGCTAATGAAAGACTAAGCGAATAAGAAAAGCCAGTTTATGAAAAGGTAACCAGTGCTCCTCTGGCTGACTGTCCCTTGATCTTACCGAGCAGTGGAGCTTTCCTCCAGTATCCATCCCGAACCTCAATGTAGTCGTACCAACACAGACTGCTTTTATACAGATCCATGGTGGTGAAGTTAAGAACAATCTGGAGGAACGAAAGTAAATATTTATAACATATTTGATACAGACGCTTGAACCTCGGAGACCAGACGAGGAGAGGCGGAAGAGTGTTCCTTTATTGTGAGGACATCATCATTCTGTCAGCAGTCTCATGAACATTCACTGCACTGCAGGGTGCTACTGAGTGTGTGTGTGTGTGTGCGTGTGCACCTTTTCTCCGGGTGTAACAGATATTCTCCAGACACAGTGTGTGTAAGAAGGGTATCCGTTGGGGTAACCAGGAGACGAGAAGTTGCCCGTTGACTCTTGGAGCGTCTCTCCGCACGCTGCAACAGACACACACACACACAGACACACACACACACAGATGGAGTTACATTTTCGTGGTGAGTCCTGCTGTTATGAGTAATCCTTTCAGCTGTGTACCAATACTGGTACATTGCTTAAGAACACATAACTCTCATAGCTATTATTATTCTCAATCTTGTACTGCTAATTAACAAAATATACATACGACAGACTTTTTTGACAAAACAAAAGCCTCATTCTATAACATCTGATCTGTCCATATGGAAACAGTTAGATGTGTATTTCGGATTGGGAAAACAGTAAAGGAAATAAAATTACCGTCCCAAACAAACTCGTGTTTCATGTTTGGCTTGTTTCGGTTTGGCATGTTGGAGTCTGCAGTATGTTTATTTTTGTGTACATGTGGGGTCCGACCACAGTCATTAACTGGTCACAATTTAGCAGAATTAAACAGAGTCATTTACTGTAAGTGAACAAGACTGACAGACTTTGAATTCATCAAAATATAGACAAGAAAAGAGAACTATTACAGCTGGATGGGAATTCATGGAAGATTCAAGACAATATTGCTCTCTTTCTCCTTCATTCTGAGTTTAATGCCGTTGTTCCCTCTCAAAAGGAGGTTAGCCAAATGTGCCCCTCCTATCCCATCATGCATGCTGTTTTCCCCCACAATGCCCTGGGGCTCTGTTCATCTGTCAGTGAATATGGTATCACTTATGACCTTATAAGGTTGAAGTTGTATATATTTCCAGCTGGGACACGCAAACACAGTCTTGTTCTCGCCCCAGTATCAAAATGAATTTAGTAGAACGACACATATCCTGTAATATATGTGGAGTTATTAACATTACCGAATAAAATAAATGCTATACTTGCATGTTGTCAGATGAATTGGATTTTACCAGAACAAAATTTGTCAAAATAAATAAATACAGAATACAAAAGCACTATGAAACAGAATGGCAACAAATATTATTTCATCTGTTTGTCTCAGTACATTGTGTGTGACCTAAAGCGTGAACCTGTCCTGGGGATGTGTGTGTGTGTGTGTGTGGGGGCCAAAAAGGGATGGCAGCATTTGCAATCAACAACCGTTGCGACATTACAGCACAGCTCGGCTTGGGAGCAGATCCAGATCTCGTAAGAACCGTGCAACCGTGACCAGAGGGACGTCCCAAACAACACAGTTGTGCGCAAGAACTGATGGGAAGAGTGTGTGTGATGTGTGTGAGACCCAAAAAACAGAGAGGGAAGCATCACATGGAAAAACAAATTACTCAACTTTACCTCTGTGCCTTGGAGAATGGCGGGGACATTTTTACACCAAAGATGCGAGCAGATAAACAGAGGTCATGTTTTGCTTTGTTTCCGAGCTAGAATGACACACACACTCACACACACACACACTGTGGTCTCATAGTAAATATATCAGTACTTACCTGGACATCTATACAGCTTCCTTGCCTGTGCAATGTCTCCTTTACTGAGCCTGGTTCGCTGGCCAATAGCTGGCCGGACTCCGTTGTCATCTCTGGATGGAAGGATGGTGTCGAGGAACATCCCTCTTCAGGAAGGAGAAGAGGGAATTAGCACATATTATGTTCTGATTTCAAGGAAATCAAATAAAAGACACACTGCCATGTACCCTCAAAACTATATCACTTGTGTCTAAAGAGCAGATCTTACCCTCCCCCCACCATGCTGTGTTTTGTGTTTTCTTATAATGTGTGAATTGGAGCTGAGTAGGGAATAGGCGGGGTTATAAGAGAAGTTAATGTTTAATTGTTTGTAGGTTGCAATTCACTCTGTGCCCAGGAAAAGGAAGCGTGGCAGTCTTTCTATATTCATTTTTCACATGTTGCACTGAGCCATCACTTACACTACACAACATCAACAGAGAGAAACATTCAAAAACTCACTGTTTAAAAAACGTAACTCACTTTAAACTTGGTAAAAATCTCTTTTGTACATTTAACACGACTCAAGAGATGAGATTGCGCTGCTGGTTACCGTGAGAAGGTGTTCCTGGCGTAGTGCATGATGCTGTCAAAATCATATGGCTCCCCGAGAGAGTTGACCTCCCCTGGCTCCATCTTGAGGAAGTTATACTCCTGTCCTGCGAACCGCATGTACAGATACACACACATTACGCACACACGGAAGGACAGCAGTGGTAGAAGGTTTTAGTTTGATCAACAAAACAGAGTGCAACAATAAAATAATACACAAATATATTCTTTACACAACCCTGAACACACAAAGCATAATTTTAATGATTAAGTCTGCATTGATTCGGGCATTTATCAAAATACTTGTAGTCCCACAGATCAGAGTAGTGCAGAGCTCTGGTATGTTAAACAAAAACTTGTGTCAGGTCTGATTCACTGCTGCGTAATTTGATTTAACACCTGTCAGACTGTGGTGCGGTGCAGAGGAGTGTGTGGGAGGAAAAGGTGTCTGGGGGCTGAGGTGACTTCACAGCCATTAAAAGCCTCATTCACACTCACACAGGGTTGGACACTAGCGTGAATTTAAAAATAAACACACACACACACGCACACACACACACACACACAAACACACACACACACACACACATTGTCCCTAAACGTCCTCACTTGTCTGCAGCTAGAAACAACCCTGAATGACTCTAACAAGAGACCCAGGTGCATCGTGGGTCCTTAGTCTCACCTGGTTGGATGTTGTCGCGGATGATGGTCACATGATCGTCACGGTCAGGCCGCGTGTGCTCGTGCCAGAAGCCGATGACGTGGCCCAGTTCGTGCACAACGATGCCGAACTTGTCACAGTTCTTGCCTATGGAGATAGCCTGGGGCCCGTTGCCTCGACGACCCACATAGGAACAACACCTAGTGAGGACCAGTAAGAAGTTGAGGGCAGGGAGGCAGTCAGAGGATATTTACTACACATTTGGCAGTTGAACAAAAGCATCAGCAGTGCTGTATGAACACACACACACACACACACACACACACAAAGGCACACACACAGTCTTTTCAGGATTTCCTGCCCCGTACTACGTCGACCAGAAGGAAAGCGATTTATTTAGATACAGTGCTGCGATAACGCTGCACTTTCATAACTAAATGTGAATAAGCTGTAAGAATTTACATATTTTCTGCTTACAGGACAAACACACACACACACACACACACACACACACACACACACACACACAAAAAGCATACACACATCTTTTTCTCTGGTTAGCTGAGACATCCGTGCCAGGCTGACAAATCTGATTAAAGTTATCCAAAGAGCTGATTGCAGGGTAAGGATCAGGAGTCACTGGAGTAGATATAGAGTCTTTTCTTCCAGCATTTGCAGCTCTAGTATCAGCACTTCACACAAAACAGGTGCACCAAATTTACTGTGGTTGTGTTGTAAAAAAATACTTTTTTAATGCATTACTCTCTGTCTCTGTCTGTTTCTGTCACACATCCAAGCTGCAGGGTATTTATACATCAGATTAAAGTGTCTAATCTCTGATGCAGCCAGACAATCCCAGAGCAGGAGAAAAATGGCATCATCTGTTAACATGCAGATCTTTCAGTCATCTAAATGACGTTTAAAAATCTGATATATTTGAAATGGACTTGTGTTTTTGTGTCTTGGGTAACTGTGCTGGACCAAACAAGAAATATTAAGATAAACACAGTAGAATCTGCTTCTTTGTTCAGATAAAACATGCACCGTAACAGTGCAACACTTTGATTGTTCAAGAGCTTCAGCGGGCATTAAATATTATTTTATTTGAGGGCAAAGAAACAGCATGCAGATTACTGCAGACTCCTCTTTGCCTTACAATTATTGATCAGTCCACAGAAGTCTGAAAAGAATGTAGCTCTGGGTATCATACTAGAGGCTATACAATACAACAACTGAGTTTCCATATCGATACTGAAATAACAAAACAGCAGAGAGGTTTGCTACCAGCCTTGTTAACTTATAGCCAAGATATCAAGGTTTCCAAAGATATTAAAAATGTCTGAATGCTGCTGAATGCAAAAAGACATTTGATAAACAATGATGCAACCATAACACAACTTGACATTACATAACACGTTTTTAAATTGGTTCTTTTGTCCAACCAAAAGTCAAAACCTAAAAGTATTTAATTCACAATAACAAATGACAAAAAAAAGCATTTTCTATGTTTAATATGCTGGAATCTTTTGCTTGACAAACAACTCTAATTATTCAATTATTCCAATTCCTGTTGGTTCATTCACTTTTAGTCAACTAATCGATTTATGAATGTATCATGTTAATATCCTACATGTCATACTCCTACAATCTCCACAACAACAGCTTGGAGAGACAAACCAAAAGGTTCTGATTTCAGCCGTTCTAAAACCTCACAACTTACGAGCCACTCTGTACAAACACACTATGACCCCACCGTGCTGCCACTCGACAGAACAATGCACTTCTGCAGTGTACGAACAAAAAAAACTGCACAAACATACAAAAACATAGAGTGAGCAGCGTGATTGGTGGGATGGGGAAACAGCGGCAGGACAGGAAGGAAAGTGAAGCCATTGTTGAGTGACCATATCGTCTCTCGCTGTGACAAGGTCACTACTGAACTCTAGGTACACACTCATACACAACCACACACGGAGTTTCAGCCTACTCACCCGCAGGGTCTGTAGGTGAACACGATGTAGCTTTCCTCATCTGTCTTCTCAATGAAAGTTACGCATGTCTGTTTCTCCCAGTGACGCATGGCCTGCTTGAACATGGCCCTCTGACTACCTGAAACACACGCATTTCACATCCTACTTTTTACACAATCACACGTCGGTGTGTAATTTACTGTTGAACCGTACAGGCATCGGTCCAGTAGAGTTGCTTACCAGTGAAGTTTCCTCCTATGACGTAGGGAATGACTCCTCCAGGCCATATCCTCTCAGCTCGGGATGTGGCCGCTCGACGAATACGGCTCTTCACAACGTTCCCAGTCTTCCAGCCTTTCCCAGTTTGGCTCTTGTGAGTGGCAGCTCCCTTGCTGGAGTTCTTGGGGAGATAGTCTAACCGAGCAAGAAACAACAGTTAAATCTACCTTTACCACAAGTGCTTGTTATGTGTGTTCAAACTGAATAAATGACTGGTCTATTATTATCAATATCAGTTAATAAATGTGCTGTGAGATTATTGGATCACACTCTTTCTTTTTATACGTGACCTTTCAGAGTTTGTTCTCAGATCAGAGGGTAATAAAAGTCAGATAGCTCTGGCTGCGCAATATACTGTTTTATTAAACATCAAATTTTAAGAAGTTTATAATGTTTACGGAGTTGTGCTAAAAAAGGTAACTCAAACATTCTGTAGTTGTGGATCTGATCGTGCATCAACTTGCTCTTTGCAAAGAGCATAAAGAAGGAAAACAAGTATTGAAAACGCATTATTATGAAACTGCATTTCAGCCTGTAGCCTCCATCAGGTGTGATTGTGCTTCAGAGGTGCCCGTCTTTCTCATCACAAACAAATCTGAGTCAGAACAGTGAAAAAGGAGATTCTTCATTGAAAGAAGTCTAAAAGGACCAGCGGTTTGCATGATATAAACTGTATTCACATTAAAGTGGAGAATAAAGCATGGTGCTTTGCTTTGTGTAGGATTCTTGAGGGAGAAAGTTGTGGCTGATATTTTTGGATGTTCCTCGCTTGCTATAATGAGCCAAAATTACAAAAAGGATACTGGCTACAATGTGAAAATAATAACTGTAGATCAATCAAACTTTGCAACAAACCTGGTAGCTAAATTAGAAGGCTAATATTTTGTTCAGCAAAAGTTTTTTTAGCTTGGTCTCCCATTATTATTTATTATTGTATTGATATATTCCTAAACATGAATATGTCCTCCATCTTTAATTGCAGCTGAAGGCTGAGAAAAACACTTTCTGTTCAGTACTGATCCAAGCAAGGACCTTCATTTAGTTCCATTTATTTCACTTTGACAAAAAAATTTACTTACAGATATTTTAAACTTGCTTGACATTGTGAACATTTTATTAACTTGCATTCGAAAATCTTAGTCGTAGTGTGTTCAAAGTGTTTCAGACAGCTGGATTTTAGAAGTTGAATCAAAGCTCCAAGCTTTGCGGAAAAGTTGGCTTTCATACTGTATGGAAATATATGGAAACCAGAAGATCTAGGATGCCATTATGGTACGTCAGTAGTAAGGTAAAGGATATGGGCTTTGTAGTTTCTTGGCAAAAACATTTAAAACCTCCATCATTAGAGTGAGAAGTAAAGTTTAGGGTCCTTACCGAAGCCAAACCTGCGAATTCTATCAAGCAGTAGATATAAAGATCCGCTCTTCTTAGAAACTGCATGTTCTTCCAGGCCACCTGACACACACAAGAGCCAAGAATCAAAACGCGAACAATGCTGATATCAGGTGGCCCCTGTCTACTTCCTTCCTATTCACGCTGCTTTACTCTGCAGCCGATGGGTAATGAGAGAGAGAGTTTCACAGGAAACATGAGAGAGATCATTAAATGATGATTACTGAGTGAGAGTGACATGTTGAGTCCACTTACCAGACGTGTGCCCCTGCCGGGAGTGTGTGTGCATGTGTGTGTGCTGTGTGAGGTCTATCGTCCGGTCAATCTGGAACATGCGCAGGTCCTCTTCGTCTAAAGCGATGTCGCCCCAGAATGCAGCTGGAAGTTAAGAGAAAAACACCTGTAACAATCACAATCAACAGCAGAATCACGGACATATTATCAATATCCCTGGAAGGGATGAATCTTAAAAGCAAAAATGTAATATTTGTCGAAAATCCAGGTAGGCTCAAAACGTTGCCGACATTATCTTTCAAACTGCAAACTGGGAATTGGAGCTTAACAAAGAGGAAGTGACTCGGGATAAGTGTGTAGAGTGAAAGAGCAGCACTTGCTCCTCCTTTATTACCTTGGCTTAGGTGTGCTCGAGCACGGCCTTTAAGCCCCAAACAGTCACAACAGTGGAGCTACTCAGTGGTCAACGAATCAGACTGGTCGTACTATTGCAGCTCCCAGGTGGGTGAGTATTACTGTGCGAGTGTGGACAGGGCATTTCTACTACCATGGTTTGAGTCAGAAATGGAAGAAATAACAAAAACTCTACAAGGGCTTGAAATAATTTGGCAAATAAGTAGTGCACATTGACCACTTTTGTTCCGTATGTGGGTATTAAAATCACTGGACCCAAACTAAATCGGATCCATTTAACAAGGGTCTTTTACAGAATGATGCCCTGTTTTGTTTTGTGTGTTTTGTGTAAGGCTTACATTCAATTCGAGTTCCAACAGTTTGACCCGCTCAGACCAGCAGTGCAGCAGAGCTCCATGAGCCTTTGATTGGGTGCAATGTGCACTTCTATGCTGGGCAGTAGGTTACAGTAGCTTGACACACCAACACGCACAAGGAAGGAGCTCAGGTGTTTTCTTTAGAGGGGAAGTCATCACATAAATGGAATCCTCTGGTTATTGATTCTCTGAGTTACAGCAACACTGTCATACCACAGTACAGAGTCATCGCAGTTTCACTCCCTCCAATCACACACCCGGTACTACAATCAAATACCTGTAAAGTTCTGTTTAGAATGTTATTTATTAATTTATGCGCGCTCGTTTTATCTCAGCCCAGTGTGAGAGTCTAAAATGCATTGTGCTGTCATTTACTACCGCGCTAGTTTCCATTCTCTCCTCTTCTCTGTTTCACCGAGGGCGGGGCTTTTGCAAACTGTGCGAGAGCAGAGAGGCAGCATTCAAATAGTGCCTTAAACTCTTTGCTCCTGCTACCAGAATTAGCTACTCTGTTGTTCTAACAATGTTTGGCTGAAATAAAAACATGGGGAATGAAGTGACTTAAAACAAGTGAGAGTAGAAGAGCTATGAGTAAGGATAAGCCGGCTAGCCGCAAAGCTAATTTATGCAGGCGGCGATTTTTTAAAATCCGGACCTGCCCTAATCGGCCTCTGATTGGGTTAGCCTTGGGCAACACATGTCAGCCTTTTTTAGTAGGTATTCCCTCTTTTTGTTACTAACACTGCACTGCAACTCAGCAAGGCAATGCTGTCTGTGGAAAAACTGAGAAAAAAAAAACTTTGGAAGATACACCTAAACAAATATTTGGACAGATGGACGGATTGACAGATGGATAGATAGATAGATAGATAGATAGATAGATAGATAGATAGATAGATAGATAGATAGATAGATAGATTTAAAAAAAATGTTTGGAAATGTCTCAATCACAAAAACCTTCCCCATTGCTCCCGCTTCAATCCTCATCCTACCTCATCCTTTTGTGTCTCACTCAGTGTATTTCTTTCTTCTCTCCTTCTCCTTCCATACACCCAGAACATCTATCAGCCTTCAACAATGAGCAACTGAATGATAACCATCGCAAAATGATTAGCTGAGCGGAGTTACTGCCCTCCACAGGGATTCAAGACACTAATACATTAACAATAGCACGGGAGAAGCTTGTCACTTAGCTAATCAGGATTGCCACTAAAGGAAATGGGGGGTCAGGGTGCCATTGTGCTCGACTCCGAGCTATTGTTGAAGAGAGGAGCAAACCACAATGACCACAGATGGTTTACAAATCATATCAAATACAGACTGGGAGTGTGTGCGGTCGATTGCTGGTATATGATATGTTGGTTCGCTGAATATGAGGATAACATCTGGTCTACAGGATAGAGCTGCTGTGAAGTATCTCCTGTATTATATGTATTTATTATGATATATCATGTATCTCTCATGTAGACAATACTAAGTATAACTTAATCTAACTCTTAATCTTACTCTAAATCCCCCCCAAATATTCAGTTTACTATGATAACAGACAATTAAAAGCATAAAATCTTCATATCTGAGATGCTGAAACCTTGAAATGGCATTTTTGTTTGAAAAATAACTTGAATATTAATTGATGACGTCAATAGTTGCTGATGAATTTTCTGTCACTCTATAATTCAGCTGATTCAAAACAAGTGTTTTGTTGTCATCAATTAATCATACTGTATCTATAGTGCTTTGTAATGTGGCTACAGCTGGAAAACTTGTATTTATACAGCAATGAAATGTGCAGATGTAACAAACTTTGTAGTGCAATAAAATGTATTTTACTTGTGCATGTTTTTTACAAAAAAGGCTGCATTCAGTGAGACACTGGTTGAAAAGCAAAGCAATCAAACTCAACATCTATAAAAGAGGTTTATTTGATTCTGTAGAGCTTGATGTTGGTGTGACTGCCATATAAAACCACAAAAAGAACACAATTACACCATTCCTGGTGCTAAGATGTGGTCTGAACAGGCGCTGTACAAATTGCATTGTGGGCGACACAATTTCTACTGAGACTCCCGTCTACTGCCAACTCTGCCAAAGTGGTGTCATAGCGAGCTACAAAAACGACCAAATGGGTGCAAAAGGAATCCACTAAACACCTAAAGAAACTCGCACATCACCAGCAAAAGATCATCATCCGTGTCAATTCTCATTTAAGATAGTATCACATGGCACTGCATTTGAAATGATAGTCCCCGGGCATTTGCTTCTATTTGTGGGACGGCGTGTTTGTGACAGTACACACCTAATGGTTTCGGATATTTCAGGAAAACAAGAGAAACTACAAGGACTAAAAGATTTCCAGGAGAAAAGGAGCTGACACAAGCAGGAGATACAAAGCGAGAAGAGGAGGGAGGGTACAGTGATAGTAAGTTTGGCCCATTGATTGTTGGGGTCTTGTTAATCCATAGAGATACCATAAATAGCCCAAAGTCAAGCCAGTGGGTGAGGAGGGGTGAGGACGGTGAGGCAGGGAGATGCAGGAGGAAAAGTATTGATCCAAAAACCCCAGGACGTCCCAGGAGACCTACATCATGCTGACCAGGGCCTTACTGTTCGCCCTTCAGCAGGGGCACTGCAGCAAACACACACACACACACACACACAGGAATAATGCACCAAACATAAACTGAGAGGCAGACTTCCCTCACATGCATCCAGCAGCTCACACCATGGTGGGATCGGTTTGTGCTGTATCGATCAACTTCTCAGGCACACGGGACTGATTGTCGGCTTTCTGCAAGTTTACTTCGCAGCCTGCAAAGAAATGTCGCAATAGTGGCTCTGTGTGACGGTGTGACAGTATATGCTTCGTCAAATACTTGCCTTGGTAAAACTTGCCTTGACAAATTTTCAGCTTGTACAAAATACAGCAGCTCTGATCTTAACTGGCCATACATATCACGTCACTCCTATTTCAGCCTCGCTGCATTGGCTGCCAGTGAAGTTCAGATTGATTTTAAGACTATCTTCATCACTTATAAGACACTACATGGCCTAGCCCCTGCCACCATCTACAAGCTACTAAACCCCTACACGTCACATAGGTCATCCAACCAAAACCTGTTGGCTATGTGTGATAAACCTAAAAAGACTTTGGAAAAATCTCTCCACTCCCTTAGATCATCCGAGTCTGTTGACTGTTTCAAAAACATCTGAGGACCAACTTCTTTAAGTTGGTTTTTCTATAATGATGATTGATCTGGATGGTGACCGATTTCTGTATGCTTTCTGGGTTTGCAAGTGCGTTATGTTAGTATGTTTTTTAGATTTTTTTCTCTCTCTCTCTCTTGTATGTGCTTTGCTTTACTTGGTGTGTTTTTTTATTCTGCACTGATGTTGATGTAAGGCACTTTGTGACCATTGTTAAAAAAACATGCTGTAAAAATCAAAATTTACTTATTTACTTACATGTTTAATCTTTATGTTATTATAGCACCTTTTCACTATTCTGATGACAAATGTTTTTATTTTTGTAAAAAAAAAATAAAAAAAGACAATCTTGGAGACAATACCAGCTGTTTAATTTGTTTTTTTCTCACATCCGGACAATAAAGATTGATGGTTTTCTCTCAAACTATCCTCATAAGTCTGGCACCAGATTCCACCGCTGAAGAATTTATCTTTGACATTCTACAGACACTACAGTACAATACAGTGGAGAATTATGCACTGCTGAGTTATGCACTCATGCTGTACTCACTGCTGTGCATCTAACACAAACACACACACACACACATCTCGCTAAGCTCCTCATTAAGCAAATATAAGGTCACACTATCGGGGGCCTAAGATGTGTGCGTGCACATGTGCATGTGTGATATTATTATACTGTATATAACTGACTGTGAACGTACTGTGATATTAAAAAGAGATTATCTCGGCCCTGTTTGAGGATTTTCTCTAAAAGTAATTGTTGTGCATGCTGCTTGAGCCACATTAACCCGTTGTGTTGAAAGTATGACAAGGATACGAAAGTGATCAAAAACTGTACAGCACCTGAAAGAAAATACAACATACTACCCAGCTGTGTCGGCCATTAAAATGATACTCCCAAAACCTCACAACCCTTTCCTGTAGCATGTATGTATGGGCATTTTTTTCAAAATAGGGCCAAATCCAGTACACTGCCAATGACTCAATCCTTACACTTGCTGAGTAGAGCTGAAACTATTCATCGATCGATCGGCATTCAACAGAAATTGAATTGGCAACTATTCTGACAACCAATTAATGTTTAAAGTTGTTTTGAAACTAAATTTGTCTTTGTTTTGATTGCCATGCTTTGGCAAAATTGTTTGAAACTTATTGAGATTACAAATA